CCAAACATCGAGGTATATAAACTTCCCTTTGCCGATTTCGTCCAAACCCTAGCCCATTTGTTCAGCCTCCCCTCTCCGCCTCTGCTTCTTCCGCTGAGGCGCTGAGTACGAACTCCGGCCACCACTTACCCTTCCTTCCCCTCCACTTCCACCACGTAGTCCGGCCACTATTTACTTACCCCCCATCTCCCACCACGAAGTCTGGTCACCACTGACTCTGCTTCACCACTTACTCAGTCCACCACATACTCCGGCCACATCATAGTCCGTCCAGCACGACGCTTTCACCGACGACGCTTGGCGCTAAGGAAGCCGCCTCCCCCTCCTGCATGCCGTGTTTCTAGCCATCTCCGGCCACGACGACGTTTGTTACTCCCTCATAGGGCAGAGCACGGGTCGGGTTCGGGCGGGTCGGGTTCAAAAATGGTAAACCCGTTCGGGTATCGGATTGATAATTTCAAACCCTACCCGATCAAAAAATTTATCGGGTTTTTCGGGTTCAAGAAGTTCGGGTTTCGGTCGGGTTGGTTCGGTTTTCGGGTCCATTCGGATTTCAATTTATTATTGTTGAAATTGTGATAAATAAAATGGTAATTGGTGAAATATCATTCAAAGTTATACTAGTATAACATTCAAATTAATAGTTGTATAAATACAGTAATCGACATTTTTTTTTACCTCGGAAGGCAAACCACCTAAGTCGGTGGAGTAAATGTCGAGGGTCTTTTACTAGATTTTATTAGAGCTTCCAAGACTAGATTTTATACGGTAATCAAAATATTTGAACATGTAAAATAATAATATATGATGATTGGCATATTTGATATTGTGATAAATAAAATGATAATTGGTGAAAATATCATTCAAAATCATAAGAATACAACATTCAAAGTTATAGTTTTACAAATATGACAATAGGAATATTTGAGGATACATAATATGGTAATTGACATACAATACTTGAGATATTTAAACATGCATAATAATTCAAAGTAGTATATATACTACCCTAGTTCGGGTTTTCGGGCGGGTCGGGTAGCATAATTGGTAACCCTACCCGCTACCCGCTTAACTCTCGGGTTGCAAAAACCGGATCGGGTTTGGGTCATTCGGGTCGGGTTATCCGACCCAAAAAATAAAATCGGATATATCCGATCGGGTCAATCGGGTAGGGTCGGGTTTGCTCTCCCCTACTCCCTCACCGGCCTTCGTCTTCGCTCTGCATCCAGGTCATGTCCCATTAAGTACTCCTTGTTTACGGATTTTCATATAAATTTTATTTAAACATATTGTTATTTTAAGTTTAATATAAAGTCGTTATTTTTAAAACATTATTTTCAAAAAAAAATAGTTTGTAAATGATTTGTTATAAACTATTTATGAATTATTATCATCTATATAAATTTATGACAAAATGATTTCTATAGTATTAAAGAGGTTTTTTTTTTAATTTTGAAACGAAGTATTATTAGCAATAGAAATTATAACAGTTGTACTTATAATTACGAACAAAGTAATATATATTTTTGTTCATATATTTTTGTTTATATTTTTTTTATTTTAATTAGAAGCGAGCTATTATAATAAACTGAAAAATATGAAGGCCGCCTGTTATGAAGTATTTATAAATTTATATGAAAGAAGTGTTTATAAATTAATATTATGAACGAAGTAAAATAAATATGAATGTGATATTTATATATATTATAAATTTGTATTATAAATGAGGTGGTAGTTATGAAGTATTGTAATCATCTTGTCCATACAGTATCATAAACTTCGTTTTTATTAACAAAGTATATAAATACCAAACTCTTATATACCTCTGAGTGCCAAACTCTGAAATTAACCATAAATAATGTTAAACCAATTATAATAATTATGAAAGCTGTAAAACTGATATACATTATGTGGAATTTTAACTTGGTAATTAATCTGGCAGTTTGACAATCTGTGTATTACTTCCTTATATAACTAGGTATAACAATCTGTTTATATTATTAAATCTTTACTTCTATTTTGTATGCATTTGGTTATAGCCTAACTGTTTCACTAGTCTGTTTTTATAAAATTGCTCAACTGTTTCACTAGGTATAACAATCTGTTTATATTATTAAATCTTTACTTCTATTTTGTATGCATTTGGTTATAGCCAAACTGTTTCACTAGTCTGTTTTTATAAAATTGCTATGTGTTTCAATAGAATGTCTGTCCGTAGAGGTTCATTCAGTTCCTTTACCTCCTCCCGCGGAGGTCGGGGAGGTGGAGGGAGCCCAGTCATGAACCGCATTGAGCAGAACTCTCCTCCAGCTGATTCACATGAGTCTGTCCAATCCCGACACCTTTCTGATGAACATACAAATGGTTCTGATTCTGCTACCCCCAATGATTCTGTTCAGACAAAGACCTTCATTTCACCCTTTGAAATGAGAAGGTTTAGTAATACTGCCTAATGTAATTGTACATAGAATATTTCTTCATATACATTATTTCTGTTTGGTTTTATGATACAGCAACCCTACTGTCCTGAACAACATCATTTCAATCCTGACTAACAATTTCCACGGTCCATGGCGTTCTTTTATGAATGCGGATGCTGATCAACGAAACTGTTGGTGGAAACTGTTTCAGGTATGTTATAGGTTCTTATTGTGTAAGCACTGTCATTTTAGATTGATTGTAGACAGTTCGGGAGTTCTGATGTTGCTCGTTTTTTTGTTTTGTTTATTCAGAGGAAGTATGAGTGGGATGCCTGCTTTAATACCAAAATGAAAAAGAAGTTCAAGTCTCGGGCCTCTGAATGGTTGAGCAAGAACATTGGTAGGGCTAGGCGGGACAACAAGAAGCCTGACTGGATTGGTGACGGAGATTGGAAGTTGTTGCAAGAGTATTGGGCCTCTGATGCTTTTAAGAAGAAGAGCCAAGTTGGGAAGAAGAACCGAAACTCTAAAGCGGGAAAAGAATAACAGTATCGCGGTGGCAGGATACCGGTGACGAAGCATGTTGAAAGGCTGGTGAGTTTATGTTATTATTTTGAATTATAATTCAATGATTATTGTTTTTACTTTTAATCATATTTTTTACTTATAAATCTGTAGACTAAGCAGTTGAATAGGGCTCCGTTGAAGATCGAAGTGTTTGATAAGGTGTATGTCCCGAAGTCGGGTGACCCCCCACCACGTGTTGTTGAAACAAAGGTAAAGAAACATATACTTTTGTTATATGTTTTAATTATTATGTTATTATAGAAGAAATATTTTTTAACAATAATTTTCTGTTTGTGCAGCAAAAGTATAGTGAAATGAAGGCGCTGGCTGAATCACAAGGGAAGTCTTATGATGAGGATGACTCTGAGCTGTTCTGTAAGGTGGTCCCGCTGTACAAAGGCAGGCGGTTTGGGACGGGATCTGAAGCCGAGTCGATGGAAGACGTTGAATGCTCCAGCAGAATATCGGGGCCGACTCAGCAGGAAATAGATTCCCGCATCAAGGACCAGCTGAAGGCCCGATTTGTGCAGCAGGAGAAGCAGTGGCAAAGCTAGATGGAGAAGATGACTTCCGTGTTTACGACGTACATGGAACAAGTCCGTAGCTTGAACCCTAATGTCCCGATGCCAGATTTCTCGCCTTTTCGTACCCCGACCTCTACCCAAATGAATCTCAATGATACTCTTGAAGTGCGGCTGGAAGACATCTTTGTGTAATGAACAAACACTTTTAATTTTATTGCATGTTCTGGACATCTTCTGGCAATTTGTTTGCCATTTTGACATCTTATTCGGCAGTGGTTTATCTGCCTGTACTGCTGTAATAATTTTACATTTTCTTGTTATATATGCCTTTTAATTTGCTCTATATTGCTTGTGATGTTCGTATGTCTATGCTTCTGTTTTAATGTTATGCTGCTTATAACAATTTTAATTTTAAAAAAATGTACACCGTGCATATGTACGGTATCCCGTACATATGTACGGTGTACATTTTTTTTTATAAATTAAAATTTGGCAAGGAGTTAGCCGTATCAAGAATCCTCTCAAAATATCTAAATTGCAGTGTCATAATTTGGCTCGAGAGTTTCCGTGCCAAAATACCCGGGTAAAAATTTGGGTGACCCGGTAGATGACGAGCCAATATCCGTGCCTATTGAAATCCGAGCCAAAATGGCTGTGAATTATCAGGTAGGTTAGCCCGGATTATTCCGTGTCTAAATCCGCGACAAGCCTTGGCTCGGATGCAATTGGCCGCGCCAAACCATTTGGCACGAGCCAGGTGGGACGGATTTCGTTTCCGTGCCAACAACGCTAGTCTGGGATTTCAATGAAGCTCTCCGTGCCAAAATCCGACCCTCTGGCGATTTTTTTTGGTAGTGTACCGTGCTTAGTGGGAGGTCTCGAGTTCGAATCCCGCTAGGCGTGTGAAACTCAATGGAGTGGGTTTCAGCCCTGATTACTCCAGGCTCCCCCCAGACCCCCCGGAGTAAAAAAAAAAAACATTACTTGAACATATATGACTGCACGAAATTTAACTGTGATGTTCACTTTTTTGTTAAATTTCGATGCATTAATAAACATAATAGAATTCAAAAATAATATTAATCCATTAATAATATTTAGTCTTATTTACCCAAATAAGACTAAATAACAATAAAATTGCAAAAATAGGAGTCCCAATTAAACATGTGTCGCGTAGGACTAAAAAGAAACCAAACTTCCAAAAATAACCTCCAGCCACGCAAAGAGAATCGAAGCTACCGTTCCCACTTTCCACTTAGAAACTGACACGGAACTCGAGCGCGCCGAAAATTGGTTTCCAAAGCATCGAGGTATTCAAAATTAAACAAAGAGATATAAATGCAAAGAGCAATCTACTAGCTCGCGAAAAACTCTTCCGACGACGAAGTGGAACCAGAGCATAGACAACGTTTAGTTCTGTTCGAAGGTTGAACGAAAATGGAAGCCTCTGATTTCCAAAATGACGACGAAAAGGAGGACTCTGATTTCCAATTGGACACGCGGAGTTCACTAGAGATCAGAATCAATTCCAAAACGGTATGTATGAGTAGAAGATTTAATATTCGTAAAAGCATTTGAATGCCATATATATTCCATGATATCTCCTTGTTTCATTTAATCGGATTGACATTCAGTGTATTATATATGGATTTCATAAAATGCAAGTTCACTAATCATTCATGAATACAAATGCTAGATATCCGAATTTGTCATATAGATTTATTAGGTTAATGTTATATTGATAAGTGAATGCCACTTTCCTGGATTATATGATGGAATGCGAATGCCATAAGTAAATGTGTTTGGAAGATAGATTTTGTTAGGTTGATGTCAGATAGAGAAGTATGGAATCTGATGTGAGCATTGTGTAGTGAATCATGACATTTGAGATTGTGCAAGTGATGTGTACATGGCATATTGGTGTGTTATTTTTGATTTTTTGCATAAAATGTACTTGGATTATAAGTGAATGCCACTTGTCTGGATTATATGATGGAATGTGAATGCCATAAGTAAATGTGTTTGGAAGATAGATTTTGTTAGGTTGATGTTAGATAGAGAAGTATGAAATCTGATGTGAGCATTGTGTAGTGAATCATGACATTTGAGATTGTGCAAGTGATGTGTACATGGCATATTGGTGTGCTATTTTTGATTTTATTTTGCATACAATGTACTTGGATTAGAAGTGAATGCCACTTGTCTGGATTATATGATGGAATGCGAATGCCATAAGTAAATGTGTTTGGAAGATAGATTTTGTTAGGTTGATGTCAGATAGAGAAGTATGGAATCTGATGTGAGCATTGTGTAGTGAATCATGACATTTGAGATTGTGCAAGTGATGTGTACATGGCATATTGGTGTGTTATTTTTGATTTTTTGCATAAAATGTACTTGGATTATAAGTGAATGCCACTTGTCTGGATTATATGATGGAATGCGAATGCCATAAGTAAATGTGTTTGGAAGATAGATTTTGTTAGGTTGATGTTAGATAGAGAAGTATGAAATCTGATGTGAGCATTGTGTAGTGAATCATGACATTTGAGATTGTGCAAGTGATGTGTACATGGCATATTGGTGTGCTATTTTTGATTTTATTTTGCATACAATGTACTTGGATTAGAAGTGAATGCCACTTGTCTGGATTATATGATGGAATGCGAATGCCATAAGTAAATGTGTTTGGAAGATAGATTTTGTTAGGTTGATGTTAGATAGAGAAGTATGGAATCTGATGTGAGCATTGTGTAGTGAATCATGACATTTGAGATTGTCAAGTGATGTGTACATGGCATATTGGTGTGATACTTTTGATTTTTTTTTGCATAAAATGTACTTGGATTATAAGTGAATGCCACTTGTCTGGATTATATGATGGAATGCGAATGCCATAAGTAAATGTGTTTGGAAGATAGATTTTGTTAGGTTGATGTTAGATAGAGAAGTATGGAATCTAATGTGAGCATTGTGTAGTGAATCATGACATTTGAGATTGTGCAAGTGATGTGTACATGGCATATTGGTGTGCTATTTTTTATTTTTTTGCATACAATGTACTTGGATTATAAGTGAATGCAACTTGCATGGATTATATATATGATAGAATACAAATGCCATAGGTAAATGTATTTGAAAGATAGATTTTGTTAGCTTGTTGTTAGATAGAGAAGTCAAGAATCTGATGTGAACATTTTGTTGTCAATTTGGAAGTTATATGAAAGCCAGTAGGATGCTATGGAACATTTGTATTTTTTTAAGTAAAAAAATGACATATTGATGGCATTCTATAGTACTTTTTAAGTTTTTTTTTTTAGTTTTCACAACTCTGTATTAATGATAAATTAATAGACAATGACAAGGTACTTCAAGAGGAATATGCTGGCTAAACTGGATGACATGCGTGTCAATTCATTCTGCAACCTTCTTAAAGTCATGGAAAGAGTAAGGCAAATTTTAAACCAAGAGGAAATAGCTGATTTCAGAACAACTGTGTTTGGGTGGCTGATTGATTTTGATAATATCAGTTACGTTAGTGGACAATTGCAGCTTGCCTTTGTAGCTAACTATGTCAGATATGTCAATGGGTTGGTTGACCAGAACGCAATGAGATTTCATATAAAGAAAAGTGTAGTAAGCTTCACAAAACAGGATCTAGCAATAGTTACTGGTCTGAAATTGAGTGGGGTGAAGCCAGTTATGTCAGAAAAACCAACTGGAGATATCTGGACACGATATCTTGGAGGAAAGACATTAGTGACAAGAAATGATATTCTAAAGGTGCTAAATAAATACAAAAGCACTAATGAAGGGACAATGAGGTATGATGGTGTCAAGTTAGCACTCCTGTATGTGCTTTCACATGGGTTCTTAGGAAATCAAACATCTAGGCCAATGGAAGCTTACTACTTGAATCTGGTTGATAATTTGGAGGACTTTAAAGCTTACCCATGGGGAGAGGTTGTGTGGAATGAGTTGCGAAGTTATATGAAACAAAGCTGTGAAGCATTGGAAAACTGCACAGGTACAAGAGTTACATTCCCTGGGTGCATGATTGCATTACAAGTGTGGGCATTTGAAACCTTTCCAAGTCTGTCAAAAGCCGGTTTATGCAAAGTCATAGAAGGAAGAGAAGATATAATGCCAAGGACACTTAAGTGGGCGTTCCATAAGAAACCATCATTGGAAGTTTTTTGTGAGCTTATCTTCTACAATGAGAAGGTATGTCAATTTACGGTATATAATTATTAAATTTTATTTGAAAATACATATCTTATTAACCACTTTTTTGGCAGTTTGAATGGACAAAAATTGTTCCAATGGAGCAGGAGCTTGCACTGATCCAAGAAGCCAACATAGGAGATGGACAGAATTTGCATAATGATAACATATATGGTGGTAGAGTGGAGACTGAGGAAGGTGTGCAAAGAAAGAATGGAAATGGTGTTCCAAAGGCACAAAAAACAGTACAAAGAGGACGAAAAAAGAAGCCGAAAAGGCTAACAAAAACAGTGGAAAGTGGGAGAGGAAATAAAGAAATTGCTGAGCAAGGAACTTCTAAAAAAAGAAAGAAAGGTGCAAAAGAAAAGGATAGTGATGAAGATAGTGATTATAAGGGAGAGGAAACTGAGGACAACATGGATGACAGTGATGTTGAAGCAGGAGGGAATAAAATGATCAGAGCAATGAGGAAGCAAATGTCAAGAACTGCAAAAGTAATGAACGATGTGAAAGAAATGAAGAAAGTTCAGAAGAAGCAAGCAGTGATGTTAGCTAAAATCTTTCGGATTGTGAATGATCTGTCAGCATATGTAGTGAATAAGCAAGAAGGAGGAATGCCAAGACACATGGAGAATGTGGTAGAAGAAGAAAATATACCACAAAAAGATGAGAGGGAGGAGGAATGCCAGAAAGATGAGGGAAATGACAAAAGCACAGAAAACATTGAGAAGGAGAAGAAGAAGACTGAAAATAGCGAAGATGAAAAGAGTGAGACAGAAAAAATGAATGCAAGTGAGGAGCTAAATGCAGGGGGGATGTTGATGAGATAGGGAGCGACATGCCTAATTTTAACATATTTGGATTTGAATCTCAAAAAGAAAGTGAAGAAGGAAATCAAGAAAAGCTGAGGCCTGAAAATGATATAGAAGATGACACTGCGATGGAAGAGCATGGAGAAGAAAATGAAACAGAAGACTGCAAAAAGGAAGAAGAGAAGATAGGAGAAAAAGAACAAGAGGCAAGCACTGAGGTAGAAGAGCAGAGGGAAGAAATCCAGACAGAAGTCGACAATCAGGAAGGACAAAAAGGAGTAGTGAATGATGAGAAGCAAATGACAAATGATGCAACAAGCTATGATATGTGGGGAATGGGATCCCAAGAAAATTCACAGTTTGTGAAAGAGCTGTGCAACAGTGTGGATCTAATTGAAAAAGAGGCATTACTGAGAAAGTCTGAAGGAAAACCCCCTACAAACATTCCTACTGTGGTAAAATACTACTCCCTCCGGTTTTTAATAAACTTCACACTTTCCATTTTGGGACGGTCTAAAATAAACTTCACACTTCCTTATTTCATTTTTGGCAAAGAAATCTACATCAAAACAATGTCAAACAGTGTCTCAACAGTGCCAAACAGTGTCTCTACAGTGGCAAACAGTGTCTCTACAGTGCCAAACAGTGTCAAACAGTGCCTCAACAGTGTACTCTACAGTAAAGTCAAATTTCTTTCCTTATTTTGTGTGAAGTCAAAGTGTGAAGATTAAATAAAACCGGAGGGAGTAATTATTTTTTAAATATTAAAATTTATTCATTTAAATGTATAATAACTTGTCCAAATTTAACAGTTGAGGGAAAAGAGAATTGCTAAATCACCCACAAGGTACACACCGGCAGGACAAACCGCGGATGCTAAAAGGAGAAGGAAGGAAAAGGCAAAGAAAAGAACACACGAAGAATTTTTGCTGCCTTCAAGAAAAATTTATGGCCCATTCTCTGAAGACCCCACTGACACACCACCTGCAGATCAAATGCAGCGACTGGCAAACTTTTTAAGCATTGGAATGCTAAAATATAGAAAGAAGGCTGAAAAAGACAGAAGATACAGGGCTGATGAAGAAAATATGCATGGCATTCCCGATGTTGCTGGATATAATGAAAATTGAGTCAAAAACTTGGCTATACAACCTGTATTCCAATGAGCAGTGGCTAAATGACCAGGTATAAGTGCATTTCAATTTGTAGTAACACATAGAATGCCAGATATATAACTACCAGAATGCCAAAAGGAACATAATTGACAGAAACATAAATAACTTAATCTAAGATGAGAAAAAATTATTGGTGGATTCATAGAAATGGTTAACCTAAAGACATAAGTTCTAAGTAAACGAAATTATTTAAATATTTGATGTCCTTATAGTTACTAAATACTTGCAACCTAGAGAAAAATAATACCAAAATTTGGAGAAAATGTCATTTTTATTATGTTTGATGTTAATAAGTGTATGCATGTATATAAATATGAATAATATTCTGATTTATGGATATTGAATTATATTATACAGCATATGGAAGTAGGAATGTACTATTTGAGTGTCAAAAGGCTTCAATACAAACTCAAACAACAGTATGCCACAAACAGAGCGTTCTTTATACAAATACTAAGGCGTGAACATGAGAAAATTCTGAAGGGTCAAGGAACTGTTCACGAAGCTGCAGATGATGATGAGATTATGCACAGTGTGCAAGGAAGTACATCAAAGTTTGCCCTACACTGGTGTGATTGCCAATTTGTGTACTTCCCTTTAAACACTGGTCAACATTGGGTGTTACTTGTGCTGGACATCAAGAACAGAAAGGTTAGAGTTTACAACTCTAGTTCTCGAAGGGGAGATTCACTGAAAGATATCCGACCATTCATCCCATGCATTAAAGTCTTGCTTCCTAAAATAATGGACTACTACAATGTGCATGCTAATTCTGGAGAGGAGCCAATGGGAGGGAAAGAATTACAAATAGAAGCTGTAGAAAGCTGCCCACAACAGACTAACGCGTAAGAAATGCAAATTAAAATATGTTTTGTGCAATATTAAATGGGTGATTATTCAATGTGTGATTAAATATAGAATTCTATTTGCTTACAGGGGGGACTGTGGAATGTTTGTACTCAAGATTGCTGAATTCCTAATCATGGATATGGAGCTTGATGGAATAGATGCTGATGAAATGCCAATGTTTAGGCAAAAAATGGCGACAGAGCTTGTTATGTACAGTGAAAAGAGAATGAGTGAGGCTAAAGGAGTGCAGATGCCAAAGTTTATAAGGGAATAATGATACAATGACAAGATGTGTTTCTGCATATGTAGCAAGACATGTGTCATTCAGACAATGTGTGGTTTTATGTCATAATGTTCGTTTTTTTGTGAAGTCAATTTGGAACTATGTGTAATATGCTTAAACTTTGATTCATGTGACTGTTTTGTGTTGGATAATTCAGATTAAATGTGATTGTGTTTTCTATTTCAATAGAATGATAAGTGTTCTTTGATAATAAGATATATGCAGGGAAATAGGGGAAAATATGGCATTACAAACTACGAAATGCCATTTTATATATTAGAGTTTGGCAAAGTTATGTATACTTCAGTTACATTTGTAGACGTAATGTATATATCTGTTTCCTATTCCAATTCAATGATAAAGGCTCTTTTATTAAAATAAGTGTGCATTGAAAGAGGTCAAAAGATGACATTACATACAACTAAATGCCATTTTATATATTACGATTTTGCTAAATGGTGTTGAATGTGTGAAACAAATAGTTTTATCATTTTAAAGTACTAATTTGATATATTCATGCCTTTTACTTAATGACATAAGTAGGATAGCTAAGTGAATAGTTTGCATCAGTAGAAAAGATGATGTAAATAGAATATATAATAACAAACTAGAATTAAGATGATGGAGAATAACAATATAAATAAAATATTAATCTGGATTAACTTTATACAAATATTAAAGGAATATAGAATTTAAAAAGCTACATATACATTCTGATGATGTATAACCAAAGTTGAGTAAGAACTAGGAAAAGTGTAAATGCAAAGCAAATGGCATAAATGTGCTACATAACAAAAAATGAATGTATAGAAAGCGAATGATATACATCATCAAAAAACGTGCAAGAACAAAGATGTATAGAAAACAAATGACATATCACTTCGCTTTAAAAAGCAGAATAGTGTTCAATACTAAACAGTGTAGAGTACAACTTATTAAGTGTAAAAAAATTACAGGATGTATCTTGTCCAAAGCTGGGAAAACAAGTGTAAAACTATCAATTCTTGGCCATCGGAATAGCATTAGAGCAAGTCTTCTTATTATGGCCAACAACATTGCAACGAGAACACTTTCGGTGCTTTGAACCACGATATTCTCCTATTGATGGAATTCTTGACTTTTTAGGACGCCCAGGTGGACGCTTCAAACAGCTAGGAGGCTTGCAACGAACACTTGAAATATGAGAAGGAATGACCCAATCTTCAGAATCACCAATAGAGTGCATTATACCACTCCAAGTTGCCAACAACATATCACGTGTGTAATAAGGAGATATATAATTGTAACATGATAAGCACGGACGAGAACCAATTGCAGCAACAACATGCACACAAACAAAATGGTCCAATTGAAATTGCCCACAGCTACAACTTTTGGAATTAAGATTCACAACAAAGCATCTACACTTTCTATCAATAACCTCAAACTCGTACGAACAAGATGGCTTCACCTAAAAAAAATAAAAACTTTTATAAAAAACCAGATAAAAAATGGAGTTACAAACAAAGAGATAAGAGGATATGTAGTAGGAGTACAGACGTGGCATTTGGTATTCAAAGATGGAAATCCAAAGCGTAAAATGACAAAAACAGTGCATGGCAGAATACTATACTAAAACAGATAAAAAATATGGAATTACAAACAAAGAGATAAGAAGATGTGTAGCGGGAGTAAAATAGTGGCAAATGATTTTCATAGATGGAAATCCAAAACGTAAAATGCCAAAAAACGTGCCTGGCAGAATACTATACTAAACAAGGCAATTAAATTGAAAAAGCACAACAGAGAACGAGATGAAATACCTTCATGCACCTTGATTCCAATTGTAAAGCAACAAGAACCTTTTCATTTTTTTCAGACAATATGGTATGTGTAGATTCGGCTTTTTCTCTTCGTTCGGTAAACCATTCTTGCATTCTTTCATGCAAGAAATCAATAAGTTTGGACACACAGTATTCTCGTGCACAAACATTAACGCTGTTCAATGACTCAGCGCAATTTGAGGTCATGACATTAAATCGACTTGGTCCAGCCAAACATTTTGCCCATTTCTGGCCTCCAATTTTTTCAAGCCATGCACGCATCCTAACATCTTCAGCATCTAACAATGATAAATACTGTTCATACTCCTTCACAGTTGAGGCCATATATGCAGCTCGAAACTTCCAACCCAAATCTTTAGAAGAGCCTTTAAATTTTGAAGTCATGTTGCGCCGGAGGTGCTCAACACAGAATCCATGGCTGGCATGTGGAAAGACTTTACGGGCAGCGCTAAGAATACCCTTGTGCCTATCAGATATAATATACATATCATCGCGATATTGAATACAAGCAGACACCTTAGATAAGAACCAATGCCATGATGCTTTGCTTTCTGAGTCACAAATAGCAAATGCAATAGGAACAATTTGATTGTTTGCATCTTGTGCACAAGCTGTCAACAATGTCCCTTTATAATAAGCTTTCAAGAATGATCCATCAACAATAAGAACAGGCCTACAATGCTGCCACGCATTTATCCAAGGAGACAAGGAAATGAAAAAATATTCAAAAACATCACCATCCCCTATAGTGAGAGTAATCTTAGACTCTGGATTAGTCTTATCAAGCATGTATCCAATAGAAGGCAACATTTGGTAGGAATCAGCATCTGAACCAAATTGCATTTCCATTGCTTGTTTACGGGCTTTCCATGACTTCTTATATGACATGGAAATTCCATATTCCATGCTCATATCAGCCCTGATTTGTTTCGGTTTGTATGGGACTGTAGAAGCGTCCAAAAACTTATGAGCAACTAATTTTGCAATGACAGAAGACGTAGCTTGTCTATGTTTCCCTTGCCTAAAATCAATGGAGCAAACATGAACAGGATCAAACCTGAATAGGAGCAAATGAACAATAACCATTGTTAAGATACAAGACATAACATGGCATTTTATAATTAAAAAACATAAACCCAATGCCATCATAACTGATTGCAGGGAAATAAAATTATATAAATGTGCAGATAAGGTAAATTAAAAGATTATTTGTGTAACTAACAATAATGAAACACAAAAGAAAAGCATAACAAAAGTCAAATGCAAAAAACGAAAAAGAAAAATGAAGTTATAAAAGAAGCAATGTAAAAGATGACTAAAATAAAAGAGATAGAAAACAGTAAAGGATAGAAGAAGTCACCTGCGGATTTGAAACATTTCAACGCCATCTAATTTCACGGCACGAACACTCCATTTACAATTTTTGGCCACACAAATAACATGTAAACAGATTTTTCTTGAGGTTAGAGTTCTGTATTGAAAACCATTAGTAATGGCATACATCTGCAAATGGTATTTCAGCTCTCTCTTATTCAGGTATATGGCATGAAGAACAATGCAAGTTGGATGATGGTGAGTGATGATTTCTACATTATGGAAGTTATACTGAGGTTGAGGTGAGAGTGGGAGAGGGCTATCTGACAAAGAATCACTGTCTTCCAAATCTGAGGTGCTTGCGTTGTTCATGGTTTCTATCATATCAATGTCAGATGTGCAAGAGATAGGGTTTGATGTGCCAGAAACAGTATGTTGAGCATCACCCAAATCAAACTCAGAATCCTTATAAAATTGCATGCCATGAGAAAGGTTTTGAATAGAAGGAGTATTAGCAGAAAAGTGTGACTGTTCAGATGGCTTAGGTAATTGTATAGGCTGAATGGTAAAAGCATGTCTAGGGAAAAACTCTACACATAAAGGATACTTATGAGAAGCAGGTTGGACACACTTAAGCTGAAGGTAAAATCTGAAAGTCAACTCATCATTAACAATAACAGGGGGTGGACAACTTTCAACCAAGTAGGACAACTTAAAATGATGATCCGGTTTATACTGAAGAATGACCGGAGTGAACATCTGAATGAATGATGAATACGTTGCTAGATAATGAACATGAACAAAACAAGTGTCTGTATGAGTGAATGTAAGGGCAGAATCCCAAGTACCATTCAACTTCAACATAATAAGTATCTCTGAATCCATGTTACCAGTAAAGTATCTACAATAAAAAGGGAAAACAACAATAAGTGTACTAAGCAACAATGTGTCAGAAAAGGACAATTAATGACAGAAAATAGCAAACAAATTCAGAAAATTTGGAAATCAATAAAGATATAATTGTAATTGTAGCAAAAATGAAAGTATTTCACAATTACATAGCAATCTGACAGTTAAAAACAAAAAATTACAAATTAGCAGTTATGATCAAGACCAAAACAAAAAGAATTGAATAAGCATAACACTTAAAACATGAAGAAAAGCACGAATGATAGTGCAACAATTAAGCGTCACAGAGATCAACATAAGAACAAATATACAGAAATATAGAATGACCTACATGTGTAGTTGAAAACAAAGCAGATAATAAACACGTACAAAAGGTAATGTATAAATAAAGAGAGATTAATGTGCAATCATAACTAAAATATCAAGTTACAAATTCAAAATCAATATGAAGAATTTAGTCCATGAACATAGCGGTGAAAAATTAGATGAAGATGAACGTTTGAAAAAGGACGAATTGATTAACTCGTACCAGCAAAATAGTTGACGAACCTCACGAACAAGAGTAAGATGGATGAATTTCGCCGTTCTTGGATTCAATCCAACACAACAACTACGACTTGCGGAGTGATTCTGAAGACCATCATGAACTGCGAAGAATGAAGAAGAGACTTGCGAGCCGGAAGAGAATCGATTTCTAGCAACTAAAAAAACGGAAGGTAGTTGACGGTGGAATTGCGTGGCAGGCTGGCAGGTTTCTAAAATTTTAATTGAGGGTAATTAAGACAATTGACAACTACACGGAAATAGGAATAGGAGTAAATGACTCCTAGATTGGGAATATTTTATTAGTAGTCCTATTATTGATTTTAGGAAGTTTTGAACTCCTATTTGGGGCTATTTTCCCTACATCAAATAATAATTTTACAACGAACTGAAAGTACATAAAATTTTCAGTGCACGACTACACCTTAATAAACTTTTCACTGCACGGCTGCAACAAACACCTTGATAGCATCTATATATACCAGTTCCAAACCCAACCATATGGCAAGCTCATGAGCTCATGATTGATCATGTGTGTTCTACTTTAAAATCATAAATACACCCAAATCAAGCAACATCTATGGCTTTCCTTTTGTATTCGATCACACATTAGATGAACAACATTTAAATATATGGAATGAAAAATCAATTGAAATACTCACCATGCCATTTACACCAACGATTTGCATTCATGTACGTCCGTGTTGTTAGTCCCGACGACACATACTACTTTCATCTTCCATCTTCTTCTTGCTATTTTTACTGTTACCCTGCTTCTCGATCTTGAGGTTGCTATGTAATTTCCCTCATTTGCTTTGTTTGCAGACGAGTGATATTGATAGGTTAGGGTTTGGAATCATATCCTTAATTATCCTCCTTAAAAATCGGCTTCATCCTATTTTCTCTCCATCTTCTAAATTTAACGGAGATTCCATTGATTCTTTCCTTTTCCGGAGTCAAGCTTCCACCTATACATTTGGAAAACACACGCTTTAATTGAGGTTATTTGGATCATTGACTATTCTTACTAGTCATACGGAAGTTAAAAACCTTACTAGTCATACGGAAGTAAAAAAACTAGTGTGGTCATATTCTAGGAATTCTAATTAGTTTTACTAACATATAGGTATTTTTCCCATCTAATATCTTAGGACGACAACCAGGGGCGGAGCCAGAAAAATGACTCAGCGGGGTCGAAATCAAATTTACATAGAATGAAAACGGTAGATTATTTTTAGACAATACCCGAATTGAATGTAGCTTAGATAAATGATAGTTTAAATAAAACTAATAGAGTATATGTCGCTAATATACTTCGTATATGTCACATATATTATGAACTTGTTTTATACGGGTTGAGTTGAGTACCTCAGATGAGATCCATTGTCTTACCCTAGTACTCTATGGTTCTCTTCGATCTTACTCGGTTTAGTATCAAGATTTCTTACTAGAAAAGAATCATTTATTGAGTAGACACTCGTAGCAGTAAGATATGTTGTCTTTGCTCTGTCCCTAAGTCATGTCATGTAAGTAACGAGTGAATTACACACTATTTTCTGAATATAATTAATATTATGCATCACAATTTTATTAATTTCAAACTTAAATAGTGCTGATTCTGCAGAAGCCATAACTTTTTACTCGTAATGAGTTACGAGAGCCATAATATATCAAATCGTAGATAATTCAGAGCTCTATACTCTTAAATTTTCAGCGGGGTCGGCTGACCACCCTGACCCCCTAGTAGCTCCGCCCCTGACGACAACTATTGTAGGCAAAATTCATAATATCAATCGAACCCATAATATTCTTCAAAATCCACTCGAATAAGAATTATAAGTATTTCAAAAGATGAATAAATGTTAGGCTTTAGTAAAACTTTTCTACGTCAAGAGATTAACTGTACTCATATGTTATATCTCTCATGAATAAATCTATTAATAAAACTTCTCATATTAAGTTGATCTATACTGAATTAATTATAGTTTGACCCATAAGGCCAAGCACTTACGGAGTATAAGTTACAAGGCACAAGTTAACTTTGTTGACGCACAATCATACAATCATATGGTGAGTGCGTATTCATTATAATTGGACTGTTTGACCCATAAGGCACCGTCATTTTGAAGTGCTTCAATTGAAACTCTCATTCTGGTATGTCTAGCCTATATGAGTCTATGCGTTATCAGTTGTGCGCCTCTAGGATGTTTTCTTATGAACTTAAAAGCCCGTTTGGTAGCACGAAAATCGGTTGATTCGACTGATTCTACTAAAATTTATGAAGTTATGATTGAATTGGCTGCATTGGCTGATTCTGCTGATTTAAGAGAAAATTATTTTTAAAATACATTTTACTAATAAAATAAAAAAATACTAATATGTAAAACTAGGTAAAATGGTCATCTACCGTAACTTCAGCCAATATAGTCAGAAAAAGTAACTCCAGCCTTACTTATTCTCCTTATTACACAATTCGACGCCTGAAATCAAAAGTTATGTGTTTGGCGAAAGAGTTGGCTGATAAACATGATAGGCCAAAAAACAGTGTTGCCAACAACCTCTTAAATTTGCTGGTCTTGTCTGATTTGATATGATCTGAACTAGTCTGGTAAATATTTGGTCTCTGTGTACTCCGTATTTTATAACTATGAAAGTTTGGTGTGGTCTGATCTGGTCTGATTTGATCTGTTCTGGTCTGATCTGAGACTAAAAACAATTCAAAACAAAACATCTTTATTCAAAAAAATGGTACAACATTTAAAATGCGAAAAAGCTAATAACCAGATTTAAAACACAAAAAATATACCGAGAAATAATTTCAGTCCTATTTGAATCCCCATTGCTATATGATTATTTACTTGTACCACTTTTTTTTTTGAACGATTTACTTGTACCACTTTAAATAATTAATTTATTACTTTAGAGTAAAAATACATCGTCAAAAAAATTATCCGAAACATTTAAGGTTCATTTACTAACAAAAACGCTTTTCAATTTTCTTTTCTATACGTTCTTCAATCTTATGTTTTCATTTTTCATTTTTTCTATCTCCAATTTTCTATTTTCATTTTACAGTCTTCCATTTTCATCAAAATTTTCACCTGGTTCTGGGATCAGCTGGAAGATTGAAAGCATGGTCCTGATCCGGAATTGGACGTAGTACAACTAGGATTTCCGGTCTCGGGTATAGGAAACTTGGGACCAAAATCGGTCGTCTCGGCCGGTCCCAACAACTAGGTATAGTTTGACTAACTCTTTTCCTATTGATTTGCATCAAAACGGCGCTTTTGAAACTCTTCACTTCGAAAAAAATGTTTTAAGAAAACGGGGACCGGGTCGCCGTGTCATTTATCGGACCGGATCAGATAGAGACCACTGATTCGTTGACCAGACAAGGATTGCTCGGTTGTCGACCGGAATCGAGACCAGAGCGGGAACGGGTCCACTACTAGATGTAAGTATGTAAATACATTGTAGCAGCACTACAACATCCGCCTATTCGAAATTTGGAAAATTAATAAAACGCACTTCTCCAATTTATTAAGGAAAATAGAGACACATCCCATTTTTTTGTTTTGGAAAAAGATTTGATAAAGGAACTTTCCCATTTTTGTTTCTCTAGTTTTACAACATTTTTTTTGGTGTACATGTTGTTTCTGTTTTCCTTTTTCTACTTTTCTAATTTTCAAATAGAGAAACTGGAAAACATCTTTGTTAGTAGACACTAGACACCACCCCCTCTTCTTATTTGAGGGATTTTGAAGGATGTTGTGGGTTTGGAGCGATTTTATAAATTTTTCCGTCCCACGGAGTAATATATTAGCTATCCTTCTTTTAAAAAAATTACGTAGTACTTCATATTAGCTATTCTCATCAAGATTTGGTAGTAAATTATGGCTAAGATCCGACCGAGAGCGTATATCATACCACCGGATGTACGTACACCCGGCCCAACTAAAGGAGACAACCCAACAATCAATACAGGCCAATTTTTTTTCAATGGCAATTTTGTAATTTAACTAAAAAATCGCGGTTTCCGCTAAATGAGCAATAATGTAATTTTAGTGAGCATCAGACCTATTTTATTGAGTATTAGGAGGCTAAAAATGAGTTTCACGATCTTTGTTTCATATATTCTAATTCTCTTTCTTTTTCTTTCTTTTTTTCTTTTATAAAGACTTATTAAATTATATCTATAATCCACTCTTATTAATTTCAATATGCGAATCTAATATAATATGATACTTTTGAAATATGCATTGATATGACATTGTAAAAATGAGCATTACATCAGTACGAAATAAGCATACGTAACTACAAAGTGTACATTGATATGAAAATCGTAAGGTTTTGTTAGTTGAGCATCATGACATTTTAATTGAGCATCAAACATTTCAACTAATTTCAATATGTGAATCTAATGTAATATGATATGTTTGAAATGTGCGATATTTTAAAATGAGCATAAAGAGGTACTAACTAAGCATACATAACTTACAAAATGAGTATCAAAAAATTGAAAAACTCATTTTTGTATGCTCATTTATTTTGAACTTTATACTGATTCGAGTTTAACATATGGTAATATGATACTTTCGAAATGTGCAATATTTTAAAATGAGCATTGCATTAATACCAAATGCGCATACATTACTTATGAAATGAGCAACCAAAAATTCAAAAAGCTCATTTAAAATTTAAAATCTACAATACGCTCAAGTTTTCATTTGTGTATTTGAATTGTCTGGTATGCTCAAATTTTTATTTGTGTATACTTATTTAATTTTTTTAATGTACTCAAATATTCAATTATATATGTTCAAATCTTTTAACCGTTATACACATTTATTATAAACACTATACTCATTTTCAATATAACATAAAACTTATGTTAGTAATTAACTAATTAATAAGTTGAAAATACTAACATACAATATTAAAATGTAATATTAAAATATAATATTGAAATACATTATTATTAAAACACAAGTTGAAAATTGTGGGATTCAAACAACTAAAATACGGAGCAGAAGGTTTTGTCTTCGATAGAAGCCCAAGCCCACAACGACGTATTCTTCAGTGAGAAGACTTCCTCCCTCGGCGCAGAACTAATACGGAGCAGAAGATTTCCTCCATTGGCGCAACGAGCGAGCAACAATCAAGCACCGATCAGAACTCATGGACTTCAGCGAGCGGGCAACTCGATAGGCGTCTGCGTCTCCTTCAGCGATCCCAGGGCATCAGCGAGCAGGAAACAAGGAAAACCTTTACCATTGAAGTTGTAATTAATTGCAAAAATACCCGGTTGTACGGTGAGAACTGTACAACCGGGTGTACGGTATAATTTACCGATCCGACCCTCCATTTGTATGCCCGACACACTGATATCGAACTCGAATTTGTTTAAAACTTTGTTTGATTTAAAGTGTGAAACATTCTTCTATATACTTTGGCGTTGCTTGAAGTTCGGGGCATGCCGATTTTTTTTACACATTTGTAGGAATTGTAGGATTTGTAGCTAGTTTGAAGTTCTAAAAAATTGCATGTAGATATAAGCTCCATATAAAAGTTAAGAGTATCACTCACCTTTATTGTCTATATATAAGTTCCTCCCCTAACTGTAAAGTATGTTGTCATGAATCTTTTCGTTACACACACAGTAATTGAGTGATCACTCTTTATCTGTTTCGTACTTCCATCCATTTGTTATTTGTAGCTAGAGGCTGTCCTGCACCTGATGTCCTTCCGTTAGGAATGAACATTAGCTCGTATATTGGCCCTGTTTGTTTAATGGCGGGTGGATTCCAAACCGCTGCATTATGCAGCATTTCCATTTGTAAATTTTCGGCGGATCGGGGAAAACCGCCAGCATCCAAACGGGCCCATTGGCTCCTTTCAAGATTCATCGCGTTACTGTTATTGCCACAGAAAAAAATCCATTTGTACACGTAAATAAACTAGTGTATACGTTCAAATTGT